TATACACACACACTAATAGTGAATAGCAATCTTATAGTGGGTATATATATACACACACACTAATAGTGAATAGCAATCTTATAGTGTGTGTATATATATATACACACACACTAATAATGGATAGCGATCTTATAGTGTATATATATACACACTAATAGTAGATAGCAATCTTATAGTGTGTGTATATATATACACACACTAATAATGGATACCAACGTTATAGTGTGTGTATATATATATATACTAATAATGGATAGCAATCTTATAGTGTGTATATATATATGCTAATAGTGGATAGCAATCTTATAGTGTGTGTATATATATATGCTAATAGTGGATAGCAATCTTATAGTGTACATACATATATTATACACTAATAGTGGATAGCAATCTTGTAGTGATATATATATACACACATTAATAGTGGATAGCGATCTTACAGTTTGTGTGTGTATATATATATACACTCTAATAGTGGACAGCAATCTTACAGAGTATATATATACACACACACACTAACAGTGGACAGCAATCTTACAGAGTATATATATACACACACACACTAATAGTGGACAGCAATCTTACAGAGTATATATATACACACACACTAATAGTACATAGAAATCTTATAGTGTGCATATATACACACTAACAGTGGACAGCAATCTTACAGAGTATATATATACACACACACACTAATAGTGGACAGCAATCTTACAGAGTATATATATACACACACACTAATAGTGGATAGCAATCTTACAGTGTATATATACACACACACTAATAGTACATAGAAATCTTATAGTGTGCATATATACACACTAACAGTGGATAGCAATCTTATAGTGTATATATATTATACACTAATAGTAGATAGCAATCTTATAGTGTGTGTATATATATACACACACATAGTGCATAGCAATCTTATTGTGTGTATATATATACACACACTAACATGGATAGCAATCTTATAGCATGTATATATATATACACACACACAAATAGTGGATAGCAATCTTATAGTGTGTGTGTGTATATATATTCTTATAGAATATATATGCACACACTAATTGTGGATAGCAGTCTTACAGAGTATATATATACACACAGTAATAGTGGCTAGCAATATTATAGAATATATATACACACACACACACACACACACACACTAATGGGGGTAGCAATCTTAGAGTAAGAAATTGTGACTTTTTATAATCTTTGAAGGAGAACTTTCCCATTTCTCACAACATTACTCTGTGTCCAAAGTACATTTAAATTTTGAAACTCTCTGTGCGGTTACCCGAAGGCCCCCCTCCCTCGGCTGTGTGTTTGCTTTTCTCGTTACTGGAACAGCATGAGAGGCGTCCTGAGGTGTGGTCGGTTTCTGATGTCCCTGCAGATAGTGGAGAAAGCTACGGTAGCAGGTTCCCCGTGGGCCCCTTGGCTTGAAGGATGACATGCTATCTCTGAATTATTGAGATTTTGCTTCTTTGGGTGGGAATGGGTTTAAGTAAAATTTCCTGCAGGTGCAGTAAGTAAGCTTTCAGCAGCCGCGCTTGGAATAATTGTGTGTGTCTGTGTGTGTGTGTGTGTGTGTGTGTTGTAGGGAACACAGAATTAAAATCTTTTTCCCACCAGGCACAGCGGTGGCTCACACCTGTCATCCCAGTCCTTTGGGAGGCCGAGGCAGGTGGATCACCTGAGGTCAGGAGTTCGAGACCAGCCTGGGCAACATGGTGAAACCCCGTCTCTTCTAAAAACACAAAAATTAGCCGGACGTGGTGGCGGGCACCTGTCATCCCAGCTACTTGGGGGGCTGAGGCAGGAGAATCACTTCAATCTGGGAGGCAGAGGGGTACCATCGCACTCCAGCCTGGGCAACAAGAGCGAAACTCTGTCCTCCCATCCCCACACAGAAAAAGCCCCACAGAGCATGTTCTACAGAATTAGTCATGAGTCACAGATGTTATCTCTCCTTGGGGGAACATTCTGTATCAGCCGGGGGCCCCTGTTCCTTTCTCTTGAAATAATCGTTACTTGTGATCAGTAGCAGACATGACGGGCCCATCGCTGAAAGCCCCAGTTGAAAACCCGGGTGTTCCCGGCCCAGAGCGTGACTTAAAAAGGCAGCGACAAGAAAGAACTGAGAAGCCAGGTGCAGTGGCTCATGCCTGTAATCCCAGCACTTTGGCAAGGCTGGGCTGGGTGGATCCCTTGAGCCCCCAGGAGTTCAAGACCAGCCTGGACAACATGACAAGACCCCATCTCTTATATGATGATGATAATAATAATAATAATAATAATAATAAATAAAATAATAAAAAATAATAATAATTTAAAAATAATTAAAAAATTAGCTGCATGTACTGGCTAATTTTGTAATACACTCAGTATTATCTAAAGTTTTTGCAAAAAAAAAGTATTTTCATTTCATTTTTTTTTTTTTGAGACGGAGTCTCACTCTGTCTCCCAGGCTGGAGTGCAGTGGCGCCATCTCGGTTCACTGCAACCTCCGCCTCCCGGGTTCAAGCCATTCTCCTGCCTCAGCCTCCCAAGTAGCTGGGATTACAGGTGCCCACTACCACACCAATTTTGTATTTTTTAGTAGAGACTAGGAGAGGAGCCGGGCGCGGTGGCTCAAGCCTGTAATCCCAGCACTTTGGGAGGCCGAGGAGGGTGGATCACGAGATCAAGAGATGGAGACTATCCTGGCTAACACGATGCAACCCTGTTTCTACTAAATATACAAAAAAAAAATCAGCCGGGTGCAGTGGTACATGCCTGTCATCCCAGCTACTCGGGAGGCTGAGGCAGGAGAATGGCTTGAACCCGGAGGCAGAGGTTGCAGTGAACCAAGGTGGTGCCCCTGCACTCCAGCCTGGGCGACAGAGGGAGACTCCGTCTCAAAATAAATAAATAAATACATACATACATAAAAATAAAAATAAAAAAAGACGCCTGCTTACCTGTCGCATCATTCTCGTTGGGAGGGCTCGCTACACCGTGACGTTCACAGTCAGTACTGAGTTGGCCCACTCAGTTATTTTCGGTGTACATGGGCAGGTCCTGCTAGTCCTTCCTGGCTGTTTTGTCCTGGGGTGGTAGTAAAAAGCCTGGGGCAGAGGGGGGTGGGTGACCAAGCATTGGGTCTCGTGGGCGGGATTCCAGCCGGCCTTTCTGCACCGGCCTACAGGTGCCAAGGAGGTTGGTTGGGTGACCGAGCATTGGGTATAGAGGTCAGGAGTGTGACCGGCCCTTCTGTACCTGTCTACAGGTGCCAC